TTTCGGTGCCCATTCTGTCGCTATATGTTCCTCTACGTCGCCTGATACCTTACGATTCTTTACTTTGGTATACGTTGACGACCGCCCCGTTAGGGCCCTAGTTGACACGAGCTACCGTTTCTTTAATTCGATCCAATGTGCGTACACCAAGTTCGTTTGGATATTTTTTTCAAACCCCAAAGGCTACCTAAGCTACTGACAGCAAGTGGAGATTGTATTTCTGCAATCGGTCTAGTTATTTTACCACTAGTGTTCCCCACCAGCACTAAAAAGCATACCTTTGTCGTGAGCCCAAATGTTACTTGGGATGTTTTGCAAGGCGTTGATTCCCTTGTCAACTTCAATTGTCACTTGAACATTCGTGGCCGTACTCTTCGTTTTGAATCCGATTCCACACCCCTTCGTAACGCTGATTTGGCATTTTAGGAGGATGAGGTGTGCGCGGCGATTTCCGCTACTGTTGCGCTATCACCCACTAATTTGGACAGCATTCTACCAGACCATGCTTGACTGGACACACGAGATCGTACAAATCTGAAATCTCTTCTAGCGACCTTCGAGGATGTTTCTGCTTGGGACGAACGCTCGTGGGGGCGTTCAACAGTCGTAAGGCACTCTATCGACACAGGGTGCGCAAAACCCGTGTGGCAACCTCCACGGCGTATTCCGCCACATTTCCAAACGGAGGTGAATGAGATAATCCAGACGATGCTTGAGTCAGGCGTGATACGCCCTTCCCACTCACGCTGGGTATCTCCCGTGACCCTTGTGCCAAAAGGACGGAAGATTACGATTTTGTATTGATTATCGCCGTCTCAATGCTATCACAACTGGCGACTCGTTCCCATTCACTCGCATTGATGTTAGCCTCGATGAACTAGCCGGGGCACAGTGGTCCTCTACACTCGACCTCAGGTCAGGAAACTGGCAGGTCGAGGTGGAACCCAAAGATAGGCTGAAAACGGCTTTCGTCCTCCCATAAGGTCTTTTTTAATTCGAAACTATGCCGGAGGGTCGTTGGGTCCGGCACATTCGCTGCCACCAATATAGTGTCTGAGACACTTAAGGATACGGGTTCGGCTTCTTCTACTATACGACAGTCTGTATATGCTTCCTTACTGTTTCTGTCAGATCGGATGTCGTCTCGGTCAAGATCCCGAAAACTAATATAAACGGAGTTCATTTTCCTTAAAGCGCAAGCATATACAAATAGAATGGATAGACGATAAGAACATTTATTG